TTAAAAACCTTGGCTTAATTATAGACAACACCCTCAGCTGGCGACCGCATATATATGAAGTGAGCAAAAAGGTCACTAACACTCTGCGTCATCTGTATCGTCTCAAGAATTTTTTACCGTTAGGGACTAAGGCAATGCTAATACAGACTTTAGTGTTGCCTATTCTAGATTATGCAGATGTTTGCTATGCTGATGCCTCGCAAGAACTTCTAAACAAACTGGATCGACTTCATAATAATTGCATACGCTTCATTTTCGGTTTACGTAAATACGACCACATTTCCTCTTATATTTCTCAGCTAAAATGGCTACCTCTCCGCTATCGCAGACATTTCAGAATACTGTGCACGTTATTTTCAGTTTTACACGATCCGTTTGTCCCTGAATATCTGAAATGCAAATTTCAGTATCAAGGTGATACCCATAATCGTTGTCTCCGTTCTACGGAAAAATCTAACCTCCATGTTCCCCTCTGTCACACTAGCTTTTCACACAAATCTTTTACTTCTCATGCGGTAAGATTATGGAACGAGTTACCGGGCAGTGTACGCGCAGCCACGAGCAAGGCATCGTTCAAACGCTTGCTCTGGAATTACTATCTAACGTTGCAGGAGTAGTTTGTGGTTTTCCATTTCATTTTTACATTTGTTATTGGAGTTTGAATCAGAAACTGCCATATTTAATTATGTATATATATGTATAATAAGTAGTAGTAAGTAAATATTTGTATGTATGTATTTATATATATTTATGTGTATATATATATATATATATATATATATATATATATATATATATATATATATATATATATATATATATATATATATATATGTATATATACTGTATGTATTATGTAGACATAGATGTTATTTACTTAGCTGTTTGCACTTTGCACCCACAATATTTTCTCTGCTTAGCCTGGAGGTAGACTGGTAGAGAATGCCCTGTTGCATTAAGTCCGCCTTTTTGTACTTGGTGTGCAAATAAAGCATAAATAAATAAATAAATAAATGTTTGAAGTCACAATTGACTGTGTCGTTTCTAAGTATAGTTCGTCTCGGATTGCCATACCATCGAACTATCAGATTTAGGAAATAGTGTGTTTGTATTTGTGCACACAATCGTATACTATAAAAACCTGTACTACGTAAAAATAACTAATCCAAAAATGCACTCGCGTTAAATATCATATTACTATTAAAGTTAAAATCACCACATACCTTTCATCATCTTAGGGAAATATTGCTACGAATAGCCTTTTCTTGTTTTAATTTTTTCCGCTTCTTGCACCATTTAATAGGAAAATTTTTAAATGCATATTTAATTTTTTAACAATTCTGTAAATTAACAACGGCTCCTATAGCAAAATTAAAAGCAATTTAAATAAATAAAATATATACAAATATAATTGTTTGATTTGACATTTGAACCTATTTGATTTGACAATGTCGTTAATAGACATATTCAAGACATATTACGAAAAGCAGAAAGAAGAGATAACCCTCATTAAAATAGGCCCCATGTAGTACATATAATTTTTACTATGGAAGTTGCACCAGGAAGTTGCCTGGTAAGTGGTTACTGTGGCCCATAGACATCTAAATCTACCTTCGATTACGAATCAAAATGCAGATGTGTTGTCACCCGTGAGGACTAAGATGGAGTGCCTCGTATCCAGTAAAAAGGGTCTGTTCTCTACACTCACCATACGAAACACAGCAGTGTTAATATATACACAAAATATATATATATACACACAAAATATATATACACAAAAATAAGTATTTATTTCGCAAATCAAAGTATAATATTACGACTCAGTTTGTTTATACAGGGTAATTTTTAATTTACTGAAGACCTTTTGGGAATATATTATTTACATCATAACAACAACATCTGTAAGAAAAGAAATTATATTTCTTCAATTTTTCTTTTCATACAAAAATAAAAATATCTTAATTGGACCTTCTAAACGGCAATAGTCCTAAATAGCAAAATAAAGTGAGTGGCGGGGTAGGGGTGGAGGGGTGTAGGAGGCGGCGCTTGCTCATTTGAACTTGACCTAATTACCTGTGTCGTCACTCGTCAGTCGCCTTTGGTGCGCCCGCGACGTTTATCCTTCCGTTGTGAGATTAATATCGCGAACGTTACGCGTTGTTACAATGGCATACCGATACTCAAATATTGAGTATACCGAAATGGTGCGAATTTTAGCAATTTGCAATGATAACGTTAGTGAAGCCTGCCGAGAATATTCAAGGCGATTTCCCAACTCATGTGCACCGAGCTACGCTACGATACTAGGTACTACACAGCGATTGCGAGATTACGGGCAATTCCAGCCTATATCAATCGATCGTGGACGTTCACCGCGGCGCACAGTACGTGAGCAGGAAGACATACTGCAGTTTTTTGAACAAAATCCAGCAGCGAGCACTTATGAGGCAGCCCGACAGTTCAATGTGTCACAGTACTACGCATGGAGTGTCATACACAATGAAGGGAAGTACCCTTTCCACTTGCATCGTGTTCATGAACTCAGCGAAGCTGACAAACCAGCGCGAGTTACATTTTGTAACTGGTTACTAGCTGCTGAATGAGCCAACATTTTATTTTGATTTGAATATTTAATTCGCACAATGAACACTTGTGGTGCTATGAAAATCCACATGAACCAAGACCGCATAGCTTTCAACACCGGTTTAGTGTCAATGTGTGGGCATGCGTTATTAATACAACGTTACTGGGCCCGGTCTTCATAGAAAGATTAAACGGTGAAAGCTATCATAGTTTTCTCACCGACACGCTACCAGAGTTGTTAGAGTACATACCACTTGCATCTCTACGCAATATGTATTACCAACTTGACGGGGCGCCGGCATACTATGCTCGCTGGGTCGATCGTGACGGGCCTTGTGCATGGCCTCCCAGATCGCCAGATATCACACCAATGGATTTTTATTTGTGGAAGCATGTAAAGACATTAGTGTATACTAGTCCAGCATACGAAACCCGCGACATGTTGAAAGAAAAAATAATTTGGGCATTCGATCAAATCAAAATGAATCATCAAGTATTATCTCGTGTCGGTGAACAGTTAAGTTTTAGGTGTCACCTATGCATATAATGTGGAGGTGATTATTTTGAACGCTATGTGCGCGATACTCACCGCCATCCGCGGACAAGTACCTAGGTAAGTCTAATTTTTAAATTTGTATTTTAATATTTTTATTGAACCATTATACCTTAATATCTTTATTCAATTACTGTTCATTTGTATTTAATCATTATAAATATTTTATTGTAATATTTGTAATTATTTTAACCTGCATCCATTTTTTAAATACAACTTACATTAAATAAAAAAATAGTTAATAATACTCATTTAATTTGCACGTGCTGCAAACATCGATCACCAAATCGATGCCTGCAAACCGAAAAGGGCAGGCGGCGCCTTTGATGTCGGTGACACCTGTGTCGACGTTATAATATATCGTTGGCTTGGCCTTGGGCCGCCGCATGTGCGACGTTAAGGCGTTGCCTCTTGGATGCAGGCAGAGTTGCTAGCAAACAGTATTCGTAAAAAAACTACCTAAATGTCTATTAAAGAATGTCTATTAATTCTTAAAGAAATTAATAAAAGAATCAAATAGTTCATCAAATGGTTTTATGCAAAATAAAGAAGTATATGAAAAGTTAATGTAAAGTCATTTAAAGTGGCGCCCTGGTGCAATAGGCACAGTGATGAATGGTTTAGTAGGCACTCGCAACTCAATCAGCTGAGCGCGGGCGTCGTTCGGCCCGGCGGTCATTCTTACTTATTATAAATTATAATATTTGTGGTTTTTTTTTGAATGTCATTTGCTCATTTAATTATGTTTAATGATTTCAACACAATGTGTGATACTGATATCAAGTGTAAAATAAATAAGGCATTTTCTTTGACGATTTATTCTGACATTGTTTAGGTACTACAAAATACAGACTTAAAAGGAGTCAGACATGACAACAAAACCTTAAAAGTAGTTTTTTCGTAAATGTATTATATTCGTGGTGTGATTTTTTAGTGATTTCGCTAAAATTGTTTGTAATGATGTAAACAATATATTCCCAAAAGGTCTTTAGTAAATTAAAAATGACCCTGTATAAATAAATAAATGACGCAATATCAATCAACAAACACAAAAAGTCATTGACTACAAACGTTACTTTTTTTTAATAAATGGAGGCGAAGGAAAGTAAGCATACAGCCATCTCGCCAGTTTGTGAATAATTAACTCTTTAACTGGCAACACCGTAATATTACGGATACATTCAACTAATTGTAAATAATTTTATGGCTTTTACCAAAACAAAAAATATCGAATGGCGATTTACAAGGATGAAATATCGATTCACTGGATCAATAATTCAGTACTGCATATCGATTTAAAAAATCGATCTTTTTGGCCTGAAAATCGGTTCTTCGATTAATCGATCTCAGATCGCCATCCCCACTACTCTTTGGTTTAGTGATTAGTGTTTAGGAGTTTTGGCGGGAACTTGACCGGCGGCGGTTTGTTGCTCCTGTATTACTGTTTAAATAATGGTTTGAAGTGGACTTTGATATGTAAAAGTGGTGCGATTTTGTGTAAGTTGTGTAAGTGTAAGTGTCTGCGCATGTGAACTATGGAAACTGTGAAACAAGTGTCTGATGGTGATGTGATTCTCAAAATAAGGTGTCTGTCTGCTTAGACACCTTGAGATACCATCGCCAACCGCTAGCTGTCTGCTGGCTCAAGTTGCCGTCAAAATCTCCCAAGGGCTACACAATGTGACGCATCAACATATTGTGAAGCATTATACTATGAAGGATAATTATAATATATTGTAACTTCCGGCTCAGAAGGGCTAGGTCCCAGAGCCGTAAAGAAGTTTTTAAAAAAAATGATTAGTGTCTAATGGTTATTTTTGTTCATTAAAAATAGTTGCATGCCACTGTAGTGTTAAACATTATAATGGCTGCTGTTAAAACGATTGAAGAAAATAATAAAAACCATGCAGATGGTGAAGAAGAAGATGAAGATGCAAATGATATAGAGGAAATTGAAACTAAAGATCCCTCTAAGAAAAAGAAAAAGAAAAAAAAGAAGAAGAAGACAGGTTAGTTTCTAACTTTAACCTAATATTTTATAATAATACTTATATCTATACGAAATTATGAACTGTATTGCATATTTCATTCAAATATACATATACGTATTTAATTCAAATATAAATATGTTATATTTGCTAAATTTCAGCGGGAAATGAACCATCTACGGAAAGTGAATCAGTTACGCGTGACAAAGTTGAACGAGATTCTATGGAAGAAGTTACAGAAAGCGAGGAGAAAAAAAAGAAGAAGAAAAACAAAAATAAAATGGGCAAAGCTGCTGGAAAATCTCAGACTAATCCTCCTACTATTCCAGTGGCGGAATTATTCCCAGACGGTTTGTTAAAAATTATGTACCAAATATTTTCGTAGGACTAGAATTGACAACCCCGCAGGGAAAAGGAAAATCCCCCTGTGGAGAAATGTTATATTCAAGAAAATAAAGCTATATTTAAGGTTATGTGTTATATCTGCCAAAAATCTTAAAGCAAACATCCCTCTCCTCGAAGGATATTAAAGGGGGAAAAATCAAAATTTTCAAATGTTCTCTAGAAGCCCCCTTCATGCCTCTGGAATCTTAATATTGTAGATATTCTACTAAAAATAAGAACCCTAAAGGTTGCCATTTTGGATTGGATTGGATTTTGTAGGTGAAGCTCTTAAAGAAAAAAATGTTCATAATTTTTTTTATTATCACACCTATATTAATGATATTTTCAGGATAAATAAATAATTTATTGCTGCTTCTAAATACATAATTGGATTTTAAATTATTTTGAAAATTTCAAAATTAGCTCTAGTTAGCGGAGTTTAAGAAGAAAAAATGTCATTTTATATTCCATTATGCTCTGCCAAGTCACAGTTAGTGGAGCATTTCTCGTAATTTGAGAGAACACAAAAATCTTAATTAAACCTATACTGGGATATAATTACAAATTTATTTTAAAGTACATCCAATAATAGAATTATTTTAGTGTTTCAATTAACATACCTTGATAAAATTGTAAAACCGTGTTACATGCCACTAACACTTGCATAGCGTAGAATAACACTACCAGTGTCAACAGTTAGCGTTTTTTTGACACAAGATATCAATAAAATTGAATGGTTTTCCAATATTATATATTTAAATTTACAAAATTAGTCAAAATAATATTATTGTCAATAATAATAACATGATACAAATATACTGCATTATCAAAATTATTTATGATTAAACTTTTTTTTGTAGAGGGTAATATACCTGATGTGATCATATCCTGCAAAAGTCTGCAGTTTGTGATCATATCCTAGACGGCCCCGGCCATTATATTCAATTTGATAAACCACAAATTCTCGCGAAAGAACATCGATTCCTGCCAAGGATGATACGTGAGGCTATTGAAATTAAAAAACATCCTAATTTCAATAGAGAGGGAGGCTGGGTACTACCTCCTGCTTGGGATCCTGTAATTCATAAAATTAAAACTAAACCCAAGCATACCACTGCAAGACACAGTTAGCTCGTTCTGCGTAGATCGGACCAAAAATATTAATTAAAAAAGCTGAAGGTACTCCGGTTTAACACTGACATCGGGACGTCAATCACCTCAGTCCCCCGTGACCACGGTTGCTGAAAAGCAACCGAAACATCGGGAATATAAAATAAGTTAATTAAACGTGATAAAATCCGTAAAAATAGTTTTATTCAATGTGTAGTGTTCGCGTAAATATAAGAAATCATTATGCTATATAGATTGGAAAATTGTGGACACCTAGATTTAAAAAAAAAATTAAGACGCACGCCTTGGGATGTGCCTATGTCTAGCTATGGACAGGCTGATGATGATGATGTGTAGTAAATTTGGTTTTTAATTATTTTATGATCAATGAAATTGTTATTGTAAGTTTTAATTTACCATATGCTTGGCCGTTATAGAAAAAGAAAAGGAAACCTGGATTTAGGAAGATTCACATATATTGAGGGCATATTATGATGTTGTCCAACATTCACTGGAGTGGTGCAGCACAGCAGACAAATTGTTTCATAACATAACATAAAAGAAATGAGGCCTGTAGCCAGATGTGAGATATATAAAAGCTAGTTTCCTTTCAAACATCTGTAGTATATGATTTATGATAATATAATTTTAAGACACACTTAATAAGTTTAGTAGGCTAAAGTAATTAATGCAAAATTATCAAAATTAAAAAAAAAAGTATACCTTAAGCCAGTATGGATCTACGGAATACAGCTGACGCTCAGCCTGAATGGAATAAAATAATTCTTTCTTCAATAATATTTTATTGAAGAAAAAATTATTACCGTATAAGTTACCACCATAAAACTACAGTACAAGTATTGTACAGTTCAGTCTTATATAAAATCTTATTTTGTTGTATAATAAACCTATGATATATAGGTTTATTATACAACAAAAAATCTAATCTCTCTATTGGCAAAACTTTTAAATATCTTATAAAATATATATAGGTAACTTCCCTGAAGGACAAATCATGGAACATGGCTGGGCTGAAGGTATTGATGAAAGAACAGCCAAGGACCGCTTCACAAGTGAAGAAAAACGTGCTATAGATAGGCTTCATCAGGACATCTATCAAGAAATAAGACAAGCTGCTGAAGCCCATCGCCAGGTATTCTTATCTATACAAATAAATAAAATTGAAGTGTATGTTTGTAATGTCAAAATAACAGCTTTTTACTATACTAAATGCATATGAAAGTATATACGGACTTATAACAAAAGAACAATTTAAAAAATGTCTGTCTGTTTGTTCCGGCTTATCTCCAAAATGGCTGGTCTGATTTGATGGACTTTTCACTGGCAGATAGCCAATGTTATAGGTAAGAAGTAATATAGGCAACATTTATTTTACATAAAGAATTAGGGTTCTGTGCAAAAAAACTTAAATCCATGAAATCCAATTGTAATAAATTCCACATGGGCAAGTCACAGGGAACAGCTAGCACTAAATAAAATTCGAATGCTATTCAGTCAGTTTAGATAAATATAATAATGATCTTTTATTAACTTTCTTTAAAGACAAGAAAATATATACGAGAATGGGTTAAGCCTGGTATGACAATGATAGAAATTTGTGAGGAATTAGAAGCAACAGCTAGACGTCTCATTGGTGAAGATGGACTTAAGGCAGGGTTGGCATTTCCTACTGGATGTAGCCGCAATCATTGTGCTGCACATTACACACCAAATACAGGTATTATACTCAGTGGATCGTTATATATTATTATACAATTCGTTATTATTATACTATAATGTTTAGTGGATTATTTTTAATAACAGTAGAAAAACATTATCAAACACATTTGATTTTAAACAGTAAATTAATTATACACTTGTTTCTAAAGTTAAGGGCCTGTATTGACTCGCCAATATAGCCATGTAATGAACACCTGCAATCAGTATTTGGACACGTTATAAAATTGCCGTAATTGCCACGCTTGTTAGCACAATTATTCATATGACTGTTTGTTAAAAATTTATATCCACAACTGGTGACGGTGGAGGCCTGTGTTTAGCAGTGGACATTTGATAGACTGTAACACTAATTGTAAACAAGATGGAGTGACGATATCCGCCTAACTCTAGGACCATACTGGACCAGAGTTGCAGAGGACCGGGCCCAATGGAGAGAGCTGGAGGAGGCCTATGCCAAAAGGCATGCCGAATTGCGTGATATAATATAAGAAATAAAATTGATAATATCAAAAATGTAAAACTGCATGTAGTTCGGAATAAAAGGGCTTTATTATTATATTATTATTATAACACTAATTGTCAACCATTTTTAATAGTTAATAAAAGTAACATATCATTTATTTGTATAGATAATGTGTACATAATGATTTTGTAGGTGATAACACTGTATTGGAGTATAATGATGTTGTCAAGATCGACTTTGGCACTCACATTAACGGACGCATTATCGATTGTGCATTTACTTTACATTTCAATCCCCGCTACGACCCATTGGTTAAAGGTGTTCAAGAAGCTACTGAAGCCGGGATTAAAGCTTCTGGCGTCGATGTAAGGCTGTGTGATGTTGGTGCTGCTGTTCAAGAGGTAAATAAAAGTTATTATTTTATATCATTGTTGTTAAGTTACAATAATTACCTTACTTAGCTGACTTTGTCTGTATGTACAGGTCATGGAATCACATGAAGTTGAATTGGATGGTCAAGTTTATCAAGTGAAACCAATTCGCAACCTTAATGGTCACTCCATTGGGCCCTACAGTACGTAACAAGCTAATCATATATGTATTATAATTTTACATTACATTTGCGCCTTTCATATTTTGATTGCATTTTGTAAACTATTTATTACAACTTTAAATTTTTTAGATGCATCATTAAAATTAAAGAATTTGCCAATCTTTGTACTTAATATTGGAAATTGAACATTTCGAAGAATGTGATTAATATAAATCGGGTTCTTCACATGTAAAGATTTTCAAGAACATTAAAGTGTAAATGAGCTAACAGTCCAACTGATGGTAAGAGACTACTGGAGTCCATTGTCAGCAGCAACCAACTAGAAAAATGAGGGCTATAAATGCATTGAATGAAATAAAGTTTTATGAATTTGCAACCAATTTACTTATTTTAATGTTCTCTATATTTTAAGTGCTTTACAGCTTCCATGATTTAGGTATATCGAACCATGTTCACAGGGGCAGAGGTTGACAGGGTTAACTACACAGGGTGGGTTACTACGTTTATCCACCCTAGGGTGGTATACTCGGAAACATGTTAATCTATCCACCACATACAGGACGGATAACGGTATTCACTTATATTTGTTCTTCATACTTTTTACCCCAAGCACACTTCAACACATACACTTTAATTATTAATCAAAAAACATATTACGTATTGTCGTTACCGTTACAGCCTATTAAATACATGCATTATGTATTGCGTTTAAATCAATTTAAACTTCCTGGTTTTAAATGATATTATTACTTAATTTATAAATTCTACAATATGTCCAGGCTATTGCGAACACGAATTTAATTATTGAGTAGAAGTAATTTGATATCCTGGATAAATTCGTCACTAATAATATACAAAATAAAATATACATTTGCAATCGTTCTCTAAATTCTTTGCTACAACAGATGTGCTAGTGTGGAAATAGGCGTTTTTACAAGCATTCCAAAAACGTTACTTAACGTTAACATACTAGTTTTTATCATGTTTCTATAAATAACTACTCAGCCGAGGTAGAAAATTGGAAGAATAAATATTATATACGAATACTGATTATCCATCCTGTCTGTGGTGGATAGATAAACACGCGTTTCCGAGTATCATCCTCCAACTAGAGCCGGCCTGCTCGACAGTACCCAAACAAACCAAGGGTGTCAATGGGCGCCACCATTATATGCGCTATAAACTAGATGTCATAATAAAAATAGTCAACATTGTAGTCAAACTAATTTATATAAATTACTGTAGTTATTTAAATTAGTATAGTGAAGAAATAGATAGTGCTTACACTTGGGCACTATAATCCCGTCCTGCGCTAATCTCCATTGAGACTGGCAGCCGTGATCGAAATTCGATCTGGAGGACATTATTATAATTTATTATTATTATTTGTGTAAACGAGAAATCAATAGACAGCAAATGTGTTTGCTACCTATTAGAACTAATATTAAATACTTCACAGCCGGTGAATAAACATAACAGTGAATACACTTTTGGCATGGCGATTGAAATACCTTCCCAGATGGTAATAAATAACTAATTTTTTAAATTGAACAGTTATCATCATCATCATCATCATTGCACTGTTTTAGGAATTCATGCAGGCAAAACGGTGCCAATTGTGAAAGGCGGTGAAACAACACGAATGGAAGAAAATGAATTCTATGCCATCGAAACTTTTGGTTCTACAGGACGTGGACAAGTTCATGATGATATGGATTGCTCCCACTACATGAAGAATTTTGATCAGCAATTTGTACCGTTGAGGTGAGCACATAAATTAAATAAATGAAAAAGTGTGGTAATAATTCTATTACAATATATGTATATCATTCTATTACTATCCACTGATTAAAGCAAAAAAGGAAAATACTTAGCATATAGTGGTCCACGAAAACTACGTCTAAGTGACGCAGTATATACACACGTTTGCTGGTCACGAAGAAATGCCTACAACTATTCATCAAAATGCCTTTCCGCCAGTTTTTTTGTTGCTTGGGAACGCATCGAGAGCCGGAACAAATTTGTATATAGCCGATTATTTGTTGTGTCAAGGAGTCACTTAGCTTAGATCTATTTCAGTTTCAACCCTTAGAAGACGCATGTTTGTGCATTTACCGCTAAAAAGAAACTGTTTGTCATATCTTCTTGTTGCTTCAGCCAGTATGGAAATCTCGATCTCTACAGTGTCAGTACATGGCTCACTACAACTAAGTACATTTCTGCAAAAGATTGGATACATACTGATAATTACAAATTGCTTCATAACCCTCTCAAAGATGAGAGGAGGCCTGTGCCCAGCAAGTGGAACTGTTTTTAGGCTGTAATATTACTTATTAAAATAAATGGATAAATTCAGATTTATATATATATCTAAAGAATCATTTAAGCAATACAATAACGACTCGCCTAATATCGTCTTCCTCTTCTTATATATTTATGGAGAATTATTTTTTACCCAAAAATGTTAAACTATTTTCGCGCCACTACAAATAAAAAAATTATATCCCGGTCAGTTACATTAAATGTGATAAACTGGGAGATGGTGACAAAAAATAGTCTCCCATTTTCTCCTGCATGCCTTTTTAAGAATTGATAACTAACCCTGAAATATGAAAGAGGGGTCACGAGCCCTTGCGCGCTTGCACGTCATAAAGAAAATGGCTTCTCTTTGTGTAAAGAATTTTAGTATTTTTCCGTGACATTATATTGCATGCCTTTGTAATATAACGTAGTTGGAACAAATTTAAGCTATAATAATTGATGGCATGCAATTCGCAACGGCCGACGGGGCTCTCTTCCGAAGATATCCCGGACGTCAGTCTGAGCGAGATTAGAATGGCTCTCCAGCACCTTAAAAACGGTAAGGCTCCAGGCGAGGATGGAATTACAGCGGAGCTTCTGAAAGCGGGTGGAAGACCGGTACTTGAAGTCCTTCAGAAGCTCTTTAATTCCGTCCTCCATAGTGGCATTACACCGGAGGCGTGGAGCAGAAGTGCGGTGGTCTTGTTCTTCAAGAAAGGTGACAACGCTCTCTTGAAGAACTACAGACCGATTTCCCTTCTGAGCCGCGTCTACGTGCTGTTTTCGAGAGTCATTACGAATCGTCTCGCGCGTAGACTTGACGACTTCCAGCCTCCCGAACAAGCCGGTTTCCGAAAGGGCTTTAGCACCATAGACCACATACATACCCTTCGGCAAATTGTACAGAAGTCCGAAGAGTGCAATGGGCCGGTCATATAGCTCGAAGAACCGACAACCGATGGGGAAGAAAGGTTCTCGAGTGGCAGCCTCGTACCGGTAGGCGAAGTGTAGGGCATCCCCCCACGAGATGGAGTGACGACCTGGTAAGACATGCAGGAAGTCGATGGATGCAGGTGGCTCAGGACCGTGCTTTGTGGCATTCTTTGGGGGAGGCCTATGTTCAGCAGTGGACTTGTGAAGGGCTGTAATGATGATGATGATGATGACGGGGCTCAAAGAGTAACGTAGAAATGAAAAAAAAAATAGAACATTTCCGTGTTTACAAATTGCATGCCGTTGTAAAAAATTATTTTTTTTTATCTCAAAAATACTCTACGAAAATTGGCATGCACCCCTCGTATGACCAAGGGTGGAAAATATTAGGAAAATGTTATGAAAATTTAATACAACTTTTCCGTGATTTCAAACTACTTCTAATAAAGATAAATATAATATCTTTCATATTTTATGGTTAGTTATCAATTCTTCAAAAGGCATGCAGGAAAAAATGGGAGACTATTTTCTGTCACCATCTCCCAGTCTATGACCATCGTTAACGATTGTCTGTCTAATTGTCATCTATTTAAAAAAAGAAATTACACAGAATCTTATATTTCTCGTAGACCACCTTAAAATCGCACAGTACGCGATTTTAAAATGATCGTCGAGAAAGCAGTGTAACCGTAGCGATCGCGAAAATGGTAGTCAGTCAGAGCCTATATACGTCCCACTGCTGGGCACACAGGCCTCCTCTAATTTATGAGAGTTAGGGCAAGTTGCGTTTTGGCGAACTTCACATGCCTTCGAAATATTTTTTATTTTATTTCTCAGACATGCAGGTTCCATCGCGTAAATACGTGTTAACAATAGAAAAGTACCGTCACGAGTGCGATACGATATTTTCGTAAATAGAATATCGGCTTATATTCTTTTTATGGTAACCTTAATTTGAAAATTTATTAAAAACTTGCAAATGCAAGTTAACCGATTCGTTGCGGCACCAATTTTCGACAACTTAGCTGTGGTGGCGAACAAATGTTTCATAACATACCGGGCGTGTCAAGCGCCACAGACAAAAATGACACGCCTATTGTGCCATCCGCCATGTGTAAAAGTAATGTTCTTTTTTATGCTTTTTTTACTTGTTTAGACCCAATTAAGTTTATTTGACATCAAACATCAGTTACAAATGGAAGAATACTTGTTTTTATTATTACAGTATTACTATTGACGCGAAACTTCAATGGGGCCCCCATATATCTAAATTAGCAAGCAGACTTAGTTCTGCAGCATATGCTGTAAGAAAGATTAGAAGTCTCACAGATGTTGAGACAGCTAGGTTAGTGTATTTTAGTTACTTTCATAGCGTAATGTCTTATAGAATTTTGCTATGGGGTAATGCGACTGATATTGAAGCTATATTTGTTTTGCAAAAGAGAGCCGTACGGGCGATTTATAATCTAAATTGTAAAGAGTCCCTTAGAGAAAAATTTAAAGAAATAAACATATTAACTTTGGCATCGCAATATATTTATGAAAATGTAATGTATGTACATAAAAACATAAATAGCTTTAATAAGAATAAGGATGTTCATACCTTAAACACTAGGAACAAACATAAGCTTGTAATGCCACTTACAAGACTCCACAGAATTAGTAATTCATTTATGGGGCAATGTATACGCTTTTACAACAGAATCCCAGAACATGTTCAAAGTTTGTCAATAAACAAGTTTAAAAGTTTTATTAAAGAAAAACTGTACAAAAAGGGTTATTATAATATCAAGGAATACATGAATGAAAATAACCCCTGGGAATAAGATGATCGCCACCATGCTGGTTCTATGAAAATTCATTTAAAATTGTATAAACAAAATTATTGTTAAGTGAAATTATGTTTAAAAAAAAGTCCCGCTGGGTTTCTTGCTGGTTCTTCCCAGGACAGAGGTATTTTCCGAACCAGTGGTAAATAAAATAATGACTTTCAATAAGTATTATGTAATAATCCATATTGAATAAAAATCATTCTATTCTATTCTATTCTATTTTAGTGGGTAAATACGTGTTTATCTACGTGTTTTCTTTGAAATTGAGAGTGTTTATGCAGAGATTACAAACCTTATGTACTATTTTTTGTTGTTATAAAAAAATCATTTATATAAGTAGGTACAGCTAAATCACCCTGGAAACCTTGGTTTTTATTATATTAAATTTTCACCTAATAATAACATTTGTAAATATCAAACAATGAAGAACCTTAATTTGAAAAAAAAAGGTATATCATTCATTGATATTTACAAATGTTTAATATTATTTAATGTTATACAAATGTAAAATTAAAGTCGATCTGAAAACGTCTAATAAGTAAGAATAACAAAACAAGTGTTTTCAAAAGGAAAAAAACGCCGGCGCTATACGGGGGCGGATTGACAAAAGACTATTTATTTGCGAACTTTTTTTTATGCATGAACGGTTTCGAACTGTTTCAAGCAAAAATAAACCTTATACCATATCACAAGAGCACATGGTACTTCGTAGTTCGAGACGGCATTCGGCCATATGATAGTAATAAGACGGCAGTTCAACCATTTTAAGCAAAATTAAATAATAAGACAAACGGATTGTTTTTTTTAACAGGAGACTTGTTTTCCAGAAATTTATTCACAACTTGAGTTTGTGAGCGATCGCAATGAGTGCTATTATTTGTTACTTATTGACAATTTTTCCATAACATGATTTAAAACCCACAAAGTAAAAATAGTACCATGTACACGTTAAAAAATGGTTGTCAACCACTAAAAATTTCAAATTTTCAAAATATCCAGAAACGAAGCTGCATGCATGAACTACTCGCAAAATAATGAATATTTTGTTCTGGATAAATTTTCCAATATTTGAGCGAGTTATAACGATTTTTAAAAATACACGACTCGCGTGTCATACGCCACACACAAAAGTAATCGATGGCACTCCTGGCGTGTCACCTGCACTGAACCGGTTAAATAACAAACGAAATTAGATGATACCTATATTAAAAACGTTATCAGTGTTGATCAGGTGTTGATATATAACACGGTCGATGTAATATGCTAGAGTTCAAATAATTAAATATTATTAATCTAATGTATATCACAAATGAGTATCTAGCGTGTTTCATTTATACATGTTATTATATTTCAGGCTGCAATCATCTAAGGTACTTTTGAATTTGATCAACAAGAACTTCGGCACTCTTGCTTTCTGCAAACGATGGTTGGAACGTGCAGGTGCAACACGCTACGCAATGGCTCTTAAGGACTTGTGTGACAAAGGTGTGGTAGATGCTTACCCTCCTCTATGTGACATAAAGGGATGCTATACGGCTCAATTTGAACACACTATACTGCTGAGACCAACATGCAAGGAGGTTGTATCACGTGGTGATGACTATTAAGATACACAAATAAGTCCTAATTGTTGTTGTACTAAAGTTTTTATAAGAATTTCCTTAATAACCTTTGCGACCCTTGCATATACATTATTAAGGTTCCGTTTATTAATTAAAATTCCGTATTGTTTTTTGTTTTTCAATTTTAAGTACACAAAAAGTATTCATGATAAACATACAATACAAATTATTGTATGCTTTTAAATTTACACCAAGAACTGTCGTATATTATTTATTTGATGCCCTTTTTTAGGCGATAGTTGTTATATTTTATTTACTCTTTATTAACCCGTGTCCAAACATGTAAACCGATATATTGGTATTCATATAATAACTTTCTGTAACTATAAAACAATGTTTTAATAAAGTTCTACAATAGAATCAATGTTTTATTTCAAAATCTGTGGGTACATAAAAAAAAAAACAATTCATTTTTCCATCTTTATTTTCGTTTCATACATAGGCAAATTACTTTCTATTCATTACCTTTATTTAAAAGATTATATTCTACGTGTAGGTAATATTTGAACATCTTTCGTCAGTAACAAGTTGATCATAGAAATGTATAAAAATGTTCTAATACCATAATTACAATCCAATATTATATAAATCACTGGTCTTAGAATCTGTTTTACTACACACACTTAACCATCATCGAATTACAAAACCATAAAATATTATAACACGCTCTAAAAACTGAAACAACTACTTCAAGCAATTTCAGTTAAGTTTTAAATTGCAACTTACATGTTTACGTCTTCATTTCTTTTTCAAATATTTAATACTAATAGTTCCTTTTGTTCAGATGCAGAATAAAAAGTCTTCACCTATTTTTATTTTATATATTATTATTTTTATCCTGGCAATTTAGAACTTGATTGTACCCAATTATTTATTAAAAATAACCTAATACTCGTCTTGCGGTGACAGCATAAGAAACTACCATTACCCAAACCTACGACGGTATCAGCGGCAGATACGATGCGTCTAGTACTGCGATTTGACTGCCTCGTTTGTCTGGTACTCGTAAGCGTGACTGCTGGCCATGTGCTTCCGGGTCCGAATCCCGGCTTGGGCCAAAATCAGTAATTGGGTTTTTCTTTCAAGAAATTTTCAGTAGTAGCCCGGAGTCAGGACAGTTTGCGGTGTTCTCCCGTTCCGCGAAAAGAAGTAAAGCCGGTAGTCCTGCACCTGATTTCTGTGAAATCGTGTCCGATTGGCGTCCCAACCAATTATGGTGAGGATTTAGAGTGCACCTATACACCCATTGCGCACACAAACATACTACATGCAAACATACCTACACTGCGCAGTCTAGTTTTCTCCGTGGAGATTGGCCGCCGCGACCGAAATCAGGTCTAGAAGACATTACACCGATCGCTGATCTGCGTGCCAAGCGCAAAGATTACGGTAAATCCCCTACTACAGGAGAGGTCTTGTTAAGCAATGAAATGTTAACGGGCTGATGGGGAGAAAATACGTTTTATCCGCGGCTCTAAATTCGTGTTTTCTTTCAGTTTATAGGTATTATGGTATTTTTCTTAATAAGTAAGTACCATCAACACACCATTGATTTTTTTTATGGAAGATACTAAATGTAATGAATGAAACATTTACCCGGGACTTACATTGCAAAATTAAGGTAATCAGACAGAATAACACTGGTGTAGGAATATTGTAAAACTAGCAATACTATTTCTAAAACATTTGAAATACCAGTCTCTACGGTTTATATTTAACATGTAACAACTTGTAAATACGACACACTGAATATTCATAACAGTATCCAACAAGAGGTAAATGTAAAAATTTTGTACAACCGACTTCAATATAAATAAAATGAGAACATCGTCAATGTAGTCGAAGTCAATTAAATACGCATTATTAATCGATAACTCAAAAACTACTGGTCAGATCTTGATCAAATTTATATGGGACCACATGAGAAGCACTAGCTTTCAAATAAAAAATACAGTCGCATTGAGCACCTCCTCTTTTCTGCCGACTTCCAAAAAGGAGTCCGTACTCAATTCGACGCGTATGTTTTTTTTTATGTGTGTTCCCTCATAACTTTTTACTGGGTGGACCGATTTCAATGATTCTTTTTTTGTATGAAAGCTGATACTTCTCGTGTGGTCCCATATGAATTTGATCAAGGTCAGACCAATATTATTTGAGTTATTCTTAATAACTTATATTGAAGTCTGCTGTACAAAATTTTTAATTATATTATTTTGAAGTCTATTGAAAACCAAATTATTTCGTATGTTTTTGTGTGATTAGGTATGCAAAGTTACTCTCCTATCACGATGTAACACTTTCGCTTCTTCAAGCGGAATAACCACATTGGACAAAATCAGCAGAAACAATATAACCGAAAATCGATTGACTAATCCTCCCGGCACGTCGCTTGTCGAACTTTATACTATACTGAACGATTTTCTACCCTCGCCTTACTACGCCGCTATTACTACATCGCGTTTATATATCCGACACGTGGATGCAGTCAATGCGAGATTTTCTCAAAAGTTATGCAATAAAAATACGAATGGACTATGTATATTTTATAATTTTCATACTGCATTGTTTATATTAATTTACAGTTATTATTTTGACCCAATAGTTTTATTTTTAAAAATAACTATGAAAAGTTCGCAAAACCAAGAACAAAAATTGTGATTTTTCTAAATGTTATACTCTCCACTGCAACAACACGCTCAAGTCACTGCAAATAAACACTAATTAATTTAAATAATCAAACAAAAAAAAAAATAAGGACAACAAGAATAGTTTACGTTGTGCACTATAATTTTATTCAAAAGCAAACGACGAAATTCTCTTCAATAATCATACTCGGACTAGCACAATTGTCGTTTATCGGATCTTCATGAATTAAATAAGTTTCAGATTAGTATAATCAGTAATTTGCATCTATTCAGGAAGTTATTTCCATTAAGTAAAGCAATTATATATTGCATATAAATCGCTATAGCAAAGTATGATAATATGATATATAATACAAAAATAAATACTTAATTAAGAGAAAGGCATTAATGTACATGATGAACCCAACTAAATAATAATATACAAATTCCTTATACCAAACTGGTAAAGTATCACAGAAATTAAGCATAATCCTAGCTAAACTATCGTGACATCTAATATCCCAAAACTACTCTATATTACTGAATTTGGTCAATGTAATTTTTTGCGAATTAAAAAATGTTTTTGTATACATAAACTACATTCATTTTCTCGCAGCAGGAGAGGTCATAGACATAACATATTGTAGTAGGTATGTGTACTTAGGTAATACAAAAAGGCATCCCCAAAAATACAAGAAAACCTAGTAATTTACATTCAAATTAGAACAAAGAAAATCTTCAGATGAAAAATAACACTGGTATCATATTTCTTTTATTACATGACGGGAAAGTAATTAGTTTAACTGTATCTAAGCAGCATTATTATTTGCCATCGCCATTAGTAGTGATGTCAGTACATGGCGAATTATAAATAGACTGAAGAGGAACATGAAGTAGCTCCACAATGTGCCTGTAATGTGGCTCTGAAAAAGAAAAATAATTAAATTATTCATCTGAAATATATATCAGAGATCTCGACTATTTTTTGTTCATAAATCAGGTTTTAAGTTCTTGGATATTTTATAACTTTTTTTAAATAATTATATCGCCGATCCCGATATTAAAAGGTCGATGGCATTAATACACGATGTTTTTTTATATATAATGAACACATGCATATTCGACAAATACATATATATACAATATGTAACAAAAACCCCCTGGTTCCCATTAAGTACGTTATCAGAATCATTATTCAAACGTATCGTAAATAACTTTTTTATAAACACTCGAACATTTTTTATTTTATTTAAAAAAATTACCTCTGCATTGTCTGGGGAGTAAGAGGATTGTCAAAGACCCCGCTTTACTTAGCTTTAGCATCGGCTAGTGTCAGTAAGAGATAATAAAACCACATAAATTTTTTTAATAAAATAAAAATTAAATAAACATTGGTAAATCCAGTTGGGCATGCCCTAAGCGCGTTAAAAAAATTACGTATAACATGATTATACGGAATTTTTAAAAGTAGTTTAAATACATTTCGACAGAACTATCGGCTTCAAACCCTCAAAAACCATGAAAATGATACCCCATAATGAAAAAATTGATACCTATTGCAGCCGCCATCTTGGATTTACATTTCGACAGCACTATCGGCTTCAACACCCTCGAAACACATGAAAATGACATCCATGATGAAAATATTGATACCTATTGCAGCCGCCACCTTGGATTTACATTTCGACAGCACTATCGGCTTCAACACCCTCGAAACACATGAAAATGACATCCATGATGAAAATATTGATACCTATTGCAGCCGCCACCTTGGATTTAAATTTCGAAAGCACTATCGGCTTCAACACCCGCGAAAACCATGAGAATGACACCCATGATGAAAAAATTGATACCTATTGCAGCCGCCATCTTGGATTTACATTTCAACAACCCTATCGGCTTCAACTCTCTCAAAAACCATGAAAATGACACCCATGACGAAAAAATTGATACTATTTACTTTTAGTACGTACTACTATTATTTATTCTGTGCTTTTAAAATATTGTAATAAAAAAAATCTCTCATTATTATTATAATCAAGTATTTAACAAATTTGGTTATTCGAATATTATGTATTTGTACAGCGATCTTTTTGAGCAGCTGCAAACAACCGTAACAATGTCCACTCACGACGGCGACTGACGCCGAACTGAGTGACGCAGTCTCTATTTAGTAATAATTTATTCATACAAGGCTGCCGAATACACCGAATTTTCGCCATTTCGCAGCCGAAAAAAATGTATTATAACTAAACTAAACAAAACTAAACTGCCATTTACATTCAATGGCTTCCCACATGATAGATGAAGAGTTAAAATATATTGAGTTGAACAATTGATATTTTCAAAAGTTATCGTGTTTACAAGCCTTGCGGTCTTGATAAATCCACACCATAAGCCACTAAAACCCCTTTTTTTATTTAATAATAGCAATTAATCGATTTAAAAAAAATATTAATAAGTTCAACAATCATTTATCTTTCTGACAATGTGCTTTTTATATGACTTATATGTACAATATGATTGCTAGATACGATTTCATGCGACAAAACGTTGGAATCATCATTTTTAGGCCCTAGTAGAACATACCGACGCGCTTAGGCGCTTACGGCATGCAAAAATGGTCGATTTTTTAAAAATAAATTATTTCTATAGGTTTGAATACTGATCCTGATAATGTACTTAACGGGAACCACAGGGTTTTTGTTACATGTTGTATATGTTTTTTTAGCTCAGACCGTATGGGAAAATCCGAAACCATAGGAGTTAGTCAGTGCCTTATTTAGACCTCCGACAGCCCTAGGCTAACTATGAACATCGTTTTTCTGTTCTGTCTGTGCCTGCCTAGCCCACGAATATATTCACTTGATTTTTATATGAACATGACATTGCAGGTGCGTTGTCGGCCTTTTTAAAAGGAGTAAGCTCGTTTCTTGAAGGTCTCTTAAGTCCTATTAGTTCGGAAAAAATCGCCGGTGGTAGATGATTCCACAAAAAAGTCTTGCGAGGAAGAAAACTTCTAGTAAATCGCACAGTCATGGTTGACCGCCAATCATCCAGATGGTGTGGATGGTACCATGAGTTGTCCTGATGTGCGTTGGTGGTCCGAACAATTTGTCTAAGTACTCCCCGTGGAAAATGCCATAGAAAATGCAATGGGATGCAACATGACTTCGCTGCACCAGAGAATTTAACCGATCAGAAAGAACTCGGTCATCGACGATTCGGGGCACTCTTTCTTTACTGGTCAAGTGGAAGGAGCTGGCACTGGAATATCCGGCCCAAAGATAAAAACACTACTCTATGTGAGGGCGAACCTGCGCTTTGTAAAGTTGAAAACGCAGTGCCGGCATGAAATACTGTCCCGTTCTTCTGAGCACGCTAAACTTTTTAGAGGGCAATTCAGCTTTCCTTTTCAAGTGACAGCGGAAATGTACGTCATTCAAAAAAGATATTTCTTTTAAAAGGTTTGTAAAAGGTGTTTGCCCATATATGACATACAGTCATATATGGGCAAAAACCGGCCCGCGAGACATTTTGAAAAACCCAATTAAAAAAATATTACATTAGGTACTTATACTCACGGGAGTGACAGTGAGGCGGCAAACATCAAATCATCAAAGGATTTGATGTTTGCCGCCTCACACTTTGATAATCGCCGCCACTCGGCTTGCTCTATCAAATTCTTTGAGGTTTACCGCCTCACGAGCGACACATGAAAAGATTTATTGCTTCTCAATTATTCTAAAGTAGTTTATTCCAGATTATTCCTTCATTTTGCCCATATGAGCGGGTGGATGGCCTGAACGTTAGTTCAGTTCTATTTGAGCTACCGAGGTGATAACTTGGACAAGCGATATCCTAGCGAACTGCTCGAGCCGTCAACATGCTTTGTGACTTTGTGTATGTGTCTTTGTGTCTTTGCATCTTGAGTGGTTACTAACTATAGTTTGTTATTAAGTTTATTGAATGAAAGGTAAACAAAAATGATGTCTGGTGGAAAGAAACGAAAAGTAGATACAGAGGGTCGCCAGTTTCAAGAAAAATGGACTGAAGAATTATTTTTTATCTTGCACAATGGTAAGCCTATTTGTTTGCTGTATAATAAATCCATTTCAGTAATGAAAGTATTCAATATAAAGAGGCATTACTCAACTAAGCATGCTACGCTGCACTCACTGACAGGACAGTTAAGAACAGAAAAAAACCAGAAGCTTTTAAGAATTTGCGGTAAATTTGGAAAAACAGCAATAAATGTTTCATAAACAAAGAACACAACTTGATAATGTTGTGAAAGCTAGTTTTATACTTAGCTCAAAATTGGCAAAGGCATTAAAACCATATGCCGAGGGAGAATTTATCAAGAAGTGTATGTTAGAAGTTTGCAGTATTTTGTGTCCTGAAAATAAAATAAAAATTTGAAAAAATTAGTTTGTCAAAACGAACTGATAGTACTGACGTATAGAAATGATGGCTAATGATATAAAAACAACATTGACTGACCGTATGGATGGTTTTGAATTATTTTTCATAGCATTAGACGAGAGCACCGATTTGTCTGACACAGCTCATCTGGCTATATTTATTCGAGGATAAGGAGTTCACTGTTTCTGAGGAATTGCTTGCTTTACAGCCGATAGGAGGAACCACTACAGGAGAGGATATTTTTATTGAAGTTCCAAAGGTATTCACAAGTTTTGGCTTGTCATGGTCAAAATTAATTTGAGTATGCACTGATGGTGCACCTTCTATGGTCGGCTTACGTAAAGGTTTCATCGGAATTTTGAATGAAAAAGCAACAGAATTAAATGTACAAAAAGATGATTTGATAGTCCTTCATTGCATTATCCACCAACACGACTTATGTTCTAAGTCCATTTGACTCCAATGTTATAAATGTGGTAGTAAAAACCATCAACTTTATTCGATCCCGAGGGCTTAACCATCGTCAGTTCAAGGCGTTTTGGATGAAATATCAGCCGAATATAACGACGTAACATATTATTGTCAAGTCAAATGGCTGAGCAAAAAAAAATGTTGAAACGGTTTTACGAGCTTAGAAATGAGATAGCAGACATTATGAAAATAAAAGATAAGCCACTATCTGAATTAAGTGACCCAAAATGGATATGTGACTTGGCATTTCTGGTCGATCTTACAGGCTATTTGAATGATTGAAATTTGAAAACAAGGACAGTTAGTAAATGATTTGTACAGCCATTTGAAAGCGGTTCAGATCAAACTACGCTTGTGGGAGTCACAGATGCTGTCTGGTAACAGTTACCATTTCAACACGCTCTCTGCGTATGAAAATATTGTTTATGCTCAATATGCTGAAGAACTCAAGTTACTGTCGGAACTATTTTCTAACAGATTTAGCGACTTCAAAAACATGGAAGACTGTTTCTGTTTATTTGCTACTCCTACAAAATATAATGTACAAAATGCTCCAATACACTTACAAGGGAGTTAATCGAGATTCAAGAAAACTCACTCCTAAAATCCAAATTAGAAGACGTAGAGTTGTGCGATTTCTACAAAAAATACCTAGAAAAAGACAATTTTCCGCAGCTTAGAAAATTCGCAAGATTGATTTGTGCGTTAGGCAGTACTTATAAATGCCAACAGTTCTTTTCATTGATGAAAGTTAATAAATCAACACATCGTACAAAACTGACTAACGATAATTTGGAAAATTCTTTACGTCTTTGTATCAGTGGAATTAATCCAAATATCGATGGATTAGTTTCCCAAATTCAAGATCAAGTGTCTCATTGATTTCGGTGTATTTAACTCTCGTAGTTTGTAACACTTGCAAATTTAACGATTTAATTATAATGTACCATTTTATTAAATTTCATTTTGTTATTTTAATAAATTGTACTATAATAACATTGTCGTATTATTTCATGTCTAATATCTATCGCAAAAAATATTATCACTACTTTAAAATGCACTAAGTACTTTTAAACGCGGCTCGCGAACGTATTTGTACGCTAAAGTTTGGCCCTCAACATGTCAAAGGTTGCACATACTTGGTATAAGTGTTATTAAAACGTATTTATTCAGTTTTTTGGGGCAGTGTTACATAAATCTGTCCCATTATGAAATATTTCATTTTATTTTATTTTTCCTGGACAATATTTTCTAAAAATGATCACATGAACAAATTCATATCACGATACCTAAAAGCACTCTCACGAATCAGTTCTTTTTTTATATATTGTACTAGCCGTGCCCCGCTGTTTCACCCGCGTATATCCCGCGTCTGTGCCGCGACATGACATGACATGACACCTCGGCCATTTAGTTCAATAATTTTAGCTAAAAAATTTGCAAAACTGCGACGCGTATTCGAAATAGATTTGGCAGAATAAATAAAGAATTTTAAAATTATGAACAGTCTTACTATTTTTGCCCACAGTATTAAATATTAAGAAATGTATAACATAAACTAAGGGACATACCATTTTCAGGGTTAATGTATCCTTTCCTTATAAGGAAATCTAATAGAACGGGGGCACTTGTGGTTTTAAATTGTGGACTGAGCGCCCTCTGAATACATTCTTCGGCTGTTAACAGTTCAAAAGTCTCCACTTCACCGTCTGCATTTTGTGGAATAAAATCGAATGGAAGCTCAAGATCATACACATATTCCGTGTTTGGAAATAATCCCCTTTCACTTTCAAAAAAGAAACTGGAAATAACAGTTAGGTAAGATTAATAAAAAAAAATTCAGATAAGGAAGACTAAAATAAATTACTCAAAACATAGCAATCAAAGTGTGGCATATAGAAAGAATTTATTTTCGAATTCATGTACCAACTCATAAGAAATAACAAATAAAAGGCTATGATAAGAAATCAATTAACTCCGAATGTTAACTTTATTTTATACCCCGTGTAATGGCGGGTAAGAATATTCACTACCCCATATCTTCCCGTGGGTGTTGTAAAAGGCGACAGAGGGAAACTGAGGCAGAGGATAAGCAGCAGCATCTTTCTGATAACAGTAAAATAACAATAAAAAAACTGCGGTTGCCGACCCGCTCACCAAGCGTGGCAACTAAGGCAATATACCCCCCATGAAAGTAACGAAGAGACGGCCCCCAGTCCCCCCGCTATTCCTGGCTACGGTGGCGACCATGGTAACGGCAGGGCAGGGGGTGCTAATAATCTCCGGTGGAGGTTCGGTTGCCACCTACAACGACTCGACCTGGCAACATATAACGCACGCACCCTGAGGACTGACGAGAAGATCCTGGAGCTGGAAGAAGAGATAGACAAGTTGCGCTGGAATGTCATAGAATTATCCGAAGTCCGAAGAGAGGGGGAGGACACGGTAATCCTCGAATCCGGCAATTTGTTTTATCACCGGGAGGGCGACCACCTGCCCCAAGCAGGTGTCGGATTTATCGTCCACAAGTCTCTCGTTAACAACGTTGTAAAGATTGGGAGTGTGTCGACGAGGATTGCATACCTTATACTCAGAATCACCAAACGGTATTCGCTAAAGGTCATACAGGTTTACGCACCAACCTCGGCACACCCCGATGAGGAGGTGGAGGAAATGTATGAGGATATCTCTAGAGCCATGCATTCCTCCAAAACCCACTATACGTTGATAATGGGAGACTTCAACGCAAAACTAGGCACAAGAGAGAAAGGTGAGCTGAAAGTAGGGAATTTCGAAATAGGGCAACGGAACCCAAGGGGCCAGCAGCTGGCCGACTTCATGGAGAAAGAGGGACTCTTTATGATGAACCCTTTCTTCCAGAAGCGGCCCCACAGGAAGTGGACCTGGTCGAGCCCCGACGGTTCGACAAAAAATGAGATTGACTTCATTATGACGACCAGACGACAACTGTTCAATGATGTCTCAGTAATCGCGAGGGTGAAAACCGGCAGCGATCATCGAATGGTGAGAGGCACACTGAACCTAAACGTTAAGTTGGAGAGGTCACGTCTAATGAAGTCAACGCTCCGTCCCCCTCGTGCTCTATTCGAAAGTCCCGAAACCTTTCAGCTCGAGCTACAAAACCGTTTTCAGTGCCTAGAAGATTGCAATGCAGTGGACGATATAAATGACAAGCTTGTGGAAACTGTCCATGCGGTCGGAGCTAAGTTTTGTAAGACCCGCCGCAGAAGAACACAAAAACTCTCCGACCACACTCTTAATCTCATTGCTGTTAGACGGGATATGAAGCTGCAGTCTTCAGTAGATTTGACAGCATACAGGCAACTTAACAGACAGATCTCCAAATGCATGCGGCGGGACTTACGCAACTTTAATACTGCTCGTATTAAAGAAGCGATCGAGCGGAACCAGGGCTCCAGTCTTTGCTAGAGATCTGTCTGCCAGAAAGAGCCAACTGTCGAAGCTGAAGACCGAGTGTGGCAGCGTCGTTTCCGGGACACCTGAGATTTTGAGTGAAATTGAGAGGTTCTATGGGTAGCTGTACACATCATCGTTGGAGCCACACGTAAGTGTGAGTAACGATCCAAGAGCGAGTCTTATCCGACACTATTCCGATGATATCCCGGACGTCAGTCTCAGCGAGATTAGAATGGCTCTCCAGCACCTTAAAAACGGCAAGGCCCCAGGCGAGGATGGAATTACAGCGTAGCTTCTGAAAGCGGGTGGAAAACCGGTACTTGAAGTCCTTCAGAAGCTCTTTAATTCCGTCCTCCATGGTGGCACTACACCGGAGACGTGGAGCAGAAGTGCTGTGGTCTTATTCTTCAAGAAAGGTGACAACGCTCTCTTGAAGAACTACAGACCGATTTCCCTTCTGAGCCGCGTCTACGTGCTGTTTTCGAGAGTCATTACGAATCGTCTCGCGCGCAGACTTGACGAGTTCCAGCCTCCCGAACAAGCCGGTTTCCGAAAAGGCGTTAGCACCATAGACGATACATACCCTTCGGCAAATTGTACAGAAGTCCGAGGAGTACAATTTGCCACTATGTCTGGCGTATGTGGACTATGAGAAAGCCTTTGATTCCGTCGAAATTTGGGCGGTGCTGCAGTCCCTTCAGCGATGCCAAGTTGACTGTCGGTATATCGAAGTGCTGAAGTGCTTGTACAGTAGAGCTACGATGGCTATCCGAGTACAGTACCAGAGTACGAAACCTATCCAATTGCAGAGAGGTGTAAGACAGGGTGACGTCATATCCCCGAAACTCTTCACCGCTGCATTGGAGACGTTTTCAAGCTTCTGGACTGAAAAGGATACGGTATTAACATCAATGGCGAGTATATCACTCACCTTCGATTTGCCGACGATATAGTCCTTATGGCAGAATCGCTGGAGGACCTAAGCACTATGCTCAATGACCTCAATAGTGTTTCCCAACGGATAGGTCTTAAGATGAACATGGATAAAACAAAGATCATGTTTAATGTCCATGTCACACCTATACCGGTAGATGTTGGGGACACTAAGTTCGAAGTTGTTGACGAGTATGTTTACCTGGGACAAATAGTCCGACTAGGTAAGTCCAACTTCGACCGAGAGGTCAATCGGCGGATTCAACTCGGTTGGGCAGCGTTCGGGAAATTACGGCACATCTTCTCGTCCAACCAGTCGTCAACCAGTGCGTGTTGCCAGTGATGACCTATGGTACTGAGACGTGGTCCTTCACTGCTGGCCGGATGAGGAAGCTCAAGGACGCTCAGCGAGCTATGGAGAGGGCTATGCTCGGAGTTTCTCTGCGTGATAAACTTAGAAATGAGGATATCCGCAGTAGAACCAGAGTGACCGACATAGCCCAACGGATTAGTAAGCTGAAGTGGCAATGGGCCGGCCATATAGCTCGAAGAACCGACAACCGTTGGGGAAAAAAGGTTCTCGAGTGGCGGCCTCGTACCGGCGGACGAAGTGTAGGGCGTCCCCCCACTAGATGGAGTGACGACCTGGTAAGATATGCAGGAAGTTGATGGATGCAGGTGGCTCAGGACCGTGCTTTGTGGCATTCTTTGGGGGAGGCCTATGTTCAGCAGTGGACTTGTGAAGGGCTGTAATAATGATGATGAATGATGTTAACTTTATTATTTATATACTTATACACCTATTATTTACCTATTACAAGTTTGAATCTTAATACAATACCTACGAGTAAAAAACAGGGATCGAACAGGGTTTTTTTTTTAATTTTATAATGCATATACAACTTTTTGTGCTAAATAGGACATTAAATGAATACACATGTATTGCTAATTGATAGTAATGTTTTAAAATTAATCAATTTTTTGTCATTTATAGCGTACCTAATAAGTGGCAACATAGCGCAGTTTAGACTCGGGCGCCAGGTCTTCCTGCTGCAGTGCGGATTTTCGACAATCAACAAAACTACATACTGTAAGCACCTAAGCTCAAATATCACCATTGCAAAATTAGTCTTCCATCGACGCCGGGAGTATGTTTGGCTCTATTTAGTAAAACTTGATATCTGTATGTTTCTGGGATCATTCAATCTCTTTAATTATTTATTGGCTAAGTATTGGTAACTAGAAATATCCACGAATTGTGTATAAATATCTGCAAATACGATAGTGCATATGCGTTTTCATTTAATGTCGTACATACATACACATTGTTTCTTTTAATGTTGTACATACATATAGCAACACATTGTATACAATAATTGCACATGTTAAAATTTAGGATAAACAGGAATGGGCACTTAAAATAAGTGTGATCCATTTCATTTTCATCCATGCCTCGTACTCTAGCTAGTACTCTTTAAATGTATTAGATTATTCAACTTGGTCTGGTATACAAATTTTGCATGTAATATGCAAAACCTATGGTTTTAGGTAAAATAAACCAAATAATTTAAAAAATGGTGTTCCATAAACAGTTTACATAAAACTTAAAGGATTTAAAGCCAAAACTGAAATATGAAACTTGAAAACCGTTGGCTATTTTATGTTTTTGTTTTTGCATAGATTAAGTATAGCGAAAAGCATAAACAACACTGCATTTGAGTATAAAAACCCACATACAAACCTAACACAACCAGATGGAATCAACTTCTTTACTAATTCTCCTACGACAGAAGCCTCTTCAGCTGCTTCTTTTATAGCAGTCTCCAGGATACCATAGCCAACAGCTAGGCCTCCACTGACAAAGCAATCCCATTTTCCTAAAATATATAATGTTTTTTGTTATTCACTTATTTAATCTTTAAAAAAGACCAATAATTTGTTATATTTTACAGATTCTATCTTCACTTAAAATATTTTTAACTACTGGTCCTTCTATTCTCTTCTTTACTTCACTTAAAATACTACTGGTAGTAGTCAAAAACATTTTGAACTACTTGCCAATCATAATGATGGTGATGACTGGAAGTAGACACAAAGACGGACTATAATTGTAAGTTCTGCATTGATAGCTCACTTCACTACAGGTTTTTCAACATATTGTTGCAAGCTTAGCTGTACAGTCAGCATATTAGTTTTCTAAATCCTTCAATACAATACATCTGGAAATGCCATTATGTAGCTGATGCATTCATTTTGCTCATAAAAGGGATTTCACCTGAGATACTTCTACTGTTGCCTAAAAATTTCCTTAGTATGGATAAAAGTAAATAATGGGCAACGGTACCCTCATTGCCATGTGGTGGTGGCATAAGACAATTGACAAAGTCAAATGCCCAGAATATGCACTGCGGTGAGCTGGATCAGGACTTCATAACACATGTGGTTGTAGTATAATCATGGTGAAATTTGAGCAGGAAATCGTATTACAGGGGATCGGTCAGAACTTATCTTTCTATGTCACCACAATGGCACTTGTGTATCTCATCACAACTCTTCTGTCTCTGGTAATCACCTACCTAAGACCGTTTGAGAAGCAAGCAAACAAAATAGGGATCCTGAGTACCTATTCTGTGGTTATGGGGACAATGATTCAATGTGATCTCAAGGACTTTGGAGGGCGGGCAGGGTTAAAAAGCTGTGGTGTGGTGGGATAATGCTTGGTACATCTGCTTAGCTTCAGAGTAGCCACAATCATATTCTGTAAGGTCTCCTGACCTCTTATTGACACTGAGGATGACCATTTCTTATCTTTAGTCAGTACAAGTCCAATATAGTCAGTGCCATCTTTGCTGAGGCCAGGAATCCATGAGGATTTCTTCACATTAAAAAAAGATCAAATAAGAATATTAATTTAAAATGGTAAATCATCCATTGTGAGAAAGCACAAAATGTGAAATGAAAAAAGTTATATTAGGTACTTTTGTAACTTACCAGGCCATGTTTGTTTGGTTAAACTTCTTTGTTGTAACCAGATACAAAGACCTTTTGTTGGATGAGTTAAATAACCATTAACGCTAACACCATAATTCCTTATGCCAAAGAGACAAATTGCACTTCTGTCCATCTCCAAAAGACTCTCATGATATAATGGTGTACTCACTTCAAAACACTGCAAGTAATCATTATATTAGAAGAGTGTTTTTATTGTTGAATTATCAATCTAATATGAACAAAATAAAATGTACCTCATCTCGCCAACCCTTTAGAGCACATATTTCATTTTCTTTGCGTAAAGTTTGTAAAACATCGGCTACTTTTGATGTCCGTTCTTTATATCCTCTAAAAGCTGGATTTAATTCAACAAACTTTCCAGTAACTATGAACACCTTAAATCAAAGATATACATGACACATTATGGGTAAATATTATTTTTTACTTGAACAAGACCTGATACTAATTATCAAGTAATAAGATGTTGCAAGTACCTCGACTGTGTATATATTATAATATATAATATATTAGCTATAGCAATAAGATCGGAAATAGAATATGATTACCTCCGGAAATCTTTGAAGATGTTTCATGACATCGGGCCGAATTAGGCCTACTTGATGACCTCCCACTATAAATGGTTTACATATGCCTTTGTTCAACCCTTAAATGCAGCAAGAGAGTAATTTAGTTCTTGTTTTATTAAATTGTCACAAATTAAACCGTAACATACCTGTTAAGTAAAAACAGTTGAATTTTCTTGCGAGTTTTGTGAGTTCTGAAAATTGATGCTGAAGTAACGAATGCATATCTTTCATACTTTTTAACACCTTAATTTAGGTATCAATACTAATGTTATTTATAGTTGGAATCATAACACTTAAGTTGCAAAATAGAATTTCCTATTTTTACAAACTTGCCGTACAATAGCAATAGGTATATTATTTATTATTTTATCTTTTTTTTATAACTGGCCCTACGGCTCTGGGTTCTAGCCCTTCTAAGCCTGAAGTTACAATATATAATTATCTTTCACAATACACTGCTTCACAATATGTTGATACGTCACATTGTGCAGCCCATGGGAGATCTTAACGGCAACTTGAGCTAGCAGATAGCTGACAATTAACGATGGTATCTCAAGAAGCCTAAGCTGACTGACACCTTATCTTTGGAATCACATCACCATCAGAGAACTTGTTTCACCGTTTCCACTAATAGTTCACATACGCAGACATTTAATATACTAAATCGCACCACTTTTACATATCGAAATCCATTTCAAACCATTATTTAAAAAATAACAAAGGAGCAGCAGTACGCTGCCGGTCAAGTTCCCGCCAAAACTCCGGTTAAGTCCATGGTTGTAGAGTTCACAGAGTACTTTTTATTAGTAAAGAGAAAGGACATAGCATATGCTTACGCTAGAACGAGATAGGTGGTGGATGGTTTGACCGAACAAGTACACGCTACCATCCTGTATCAGCCTGATGTCAATGGTTAACGAAATAAATACCGCTTATTTTGGCGATATTTTTGATTTTGAAGTATTAATAAGTATTTAAAACGTGTGATTAAATATGGTGACGTGCCGTACCTGAATGCAGTTCATCGAGAAAAGAAAATCCGCAAAATTACACATTTTACATGTAAGTACAATCAAAATATATAGCACTCTAAATTCAATATTTTAGAACTAGTACAAAAGTTTTATACACAAATGGATAGGGAAAAATATCGCATTTTATTACAATAATGCTCTAAATGCGAGAGAATTATATTAAAAATAATAACAAATACGTGAATTCCCAGTTCCGTATGTCGTCACTGGCAACACGCACTGGTTGTACAGTCTCGTTTTCAAGTTTTGAGGTATACCTGACGAGAAGATGTGCCGTAACTTCCCGAACGCTGCCCAACCGAGTTGAATCCGTCGACATCCGTAAACATACTCGTCAACAACTTCGAGCTTAGTGCTCCCAACAACTACCGGCATAGGTGTGACATGGACATTAAACATGATCTTTGTTTTGTCCATGTTCATCTTAAGACCTATCCGTTGGGAAGCACTATTGAGGTCATTGAGCATAGTGCTTAGGTCCTCCAGCGATTCTGCCATATGGACTATATCGTCGGCAAATCGAAGGTGAGTGATGTACTCGCCATTGATGTTGATATCGTATCCTTTCCAGTCCAGAAGCTTGAAAACGTCTTCCAATGCAGCGGTGAAGAGTTTCGGGGATATGACGTCACCCTCTCGTACACTGCTGTGGTCCTTCACTACTGGCCAGATGAGGAAGCTCAAGGTCGCTCAGCGAGCTATGGAGAGGACTATGCTCGGAGTTTCTCTGCGTGATAAACTCAGAAATGAGGATATCCGCAGTAAAACTAGAGTGACCGACATAGCCCAACGGATTAGTAAGCTGAAGTGGCATTGGGCCGGCCATATAGCTCGAAGAACCGACAACCGATGAGGGAAAAAGGTTCTCGGGTGGCAGCCTCGTACCGGCAGGCGAAGTGTTGGGCGTCCCCCCACTAGATGGAGTGATGACATGGTAAGATATGCAGGAAGTCGATGGATGCAGGTGGCTCAGGACCGTGCTTTGTGGCATTCCTTGGGGGAGGCCTATGTTCATCAGTGGACTTGTGAAGGGCTCTAATGGATGGACGTGAATTCCCGCTATTTCTGATCAAATTTTTGTAGGGATTGACACTATCAATATCATCTTATCTTATCGATAATATGTTTATAACAGGCAAAGGCATATCCTGGGATTCAGCCTCTTGTGACTTTTTTTTTTAATTTATTATTTTTACGTTTTAGTGTTTCGTAATAGTAAATACTTACGCATTATTGTAAATACTTTAATGAGATGACTTAAACTCTTATAATGTTTCAGGTTTCCAAAAATTATTCAGGTTAAATAAAAATTGTTAAAAATGTTAAATAGAGAAGGATGGGTTCCAAAAAAAAAATTCAACTACACGTAGCAAGCACCTTGAACAAAAACGTTTTTCTCATAGAAGTGCACAAAGAGTAAAGCTGCGTTCTGGATCAATACCCACATTATTTATGCCCGTGCGTATTTTCTTAATTATATATTTTACTGTATATATGTTCATTTCGTTTGTGCATGTTCAAATGTGTACAACTTGTTGTCATCCACGTGGTGTATATTTTTTATAAAAGGAAAGTAACAAAGGAACTTACAGTATCACTTGATAATAAACGGCTACTGCAGTGCTTCGTCACCTACAGTAATCTTCAAACAAAGATAGTTACAAATTTTTTACGTGGTAGAGCCATGCTGCAGCTAAGTCAATAGTATAGTTGTAACACGAATGGGTCGGCTCGACCGAGGAAGGACCACGCTCTCACAGAATACCAGCGTAAAATAGCAGCTTAAGGCTGCTGTGTTTCGTATGATGAGTGTAGAGAACCAGAGACCCTTTTTACTGGAAACGAAGCATTCCATCTTAGTCCTCACGGGTAACAACGCATCTACATTTTGATTCGTAATCGCGGATAAATGTAGATGTCTATAGGCCGCAGCAACCACTTACCATCAGGTGGACTGTATGCTCGTTTGTCACCCTAATTCTATAAAAAAAATGTGTTTTCACTCCTGAGGACTAAGATAAAATGTCTTACAACTTATAATTATACAGGCTCTCTATACTCAACAGGCTGGAACGCGGCAGTGTAAGCACTTCTGTTTAGCGACAGAAATAAGTAAAAGAGTGGAAAGAGATACATAATGTATACACTAATTATATTTGTTTGTAGGTTGTATTGAAGCCGGTACGCAAAGCATGATCATATATCAACTGCAAACGTTTATGTCATAGACAATTCTCCGAGAAAGAAAAAAAATAAAGAAAACTATTGATATTCTTCGGAGAATATGAAACAAAAAAAAACCTGAAAAATATAAGAGTACAAAAAACGGGCTAGTAAAAAAGTGGAAAAATTGTATTAAGTGATAAAAAACCTAGAAAGGCTTCCCTCACTTGAAAATAACATTAGTACTGTAATTGCATCTAGTTCAAATGATTTGTTGTAACATCTCATCGAAAGGGTAATTAAGAAAAATTTTATGAGATAGATATTCATTCTGAACGAGTTTTCCGAAAACATGTGAAAGGAAAATTGTAAACGAAAATATGTTTCGAAAATTAGTTATACTAATATTTTTTTTAATTTTTTTTAATCTTCTTGACATACATATGTACGATTCCCCAGCATTATCAAACCATAAACTTATTTGATTATTAGATTGAAGTATGAAGCGAAATTTCAAAATACCTCTTACTCCTTAAGAGGTATTTCGAAACGATTTTGCTTACGACTTTTTTACAATAAATCAGTTATTTTTGGTGGAATATAAAAATCGCAAACTTTTTGCTTGCAGTTATATTTTTATGACCTCAAACATAATAATATTCATTTTATGACACAGACACAGCTTTTTGTATCGATAATTGAAGTTGATATATGGCGCAGCACTATTCTTGTCGCACACATGCCATTTCACTCATACGGATACATTTCGTTTTTGGTCTCACCCTAATCACGCCATCGCCAATCTAATATATACTATATCTATGGAAGCAGCGTACTGTGAAGGATAATAATACATTGTAACTTCAGGCTCTGAAGGGCTAGAACCCAGAGCTGTAAAGTCAGTTATAAAAAAGGACTTAAAATCAAGGTTATAATATAACAACCTCCTTGCTTAAAATATACTGGAGTCACAGATGACTAGAGTATATAGTTACCTATTTTAAGTCTATATCTATAACAAAGGTTGTAGGCACAAACTAAAATACGATATGTAGGTATATAGTAAGAAGTGCTAGCGCAGTTGTAGTGTTGTCACTAGAGTTGTTCAAAACGGCTATCAATGAATAAATAGGATGCTACAGAGTATAAGCTATAAATTTTTAACGCACTACTAAATATGCTATGCTATAGCGCGCTATTTATACAAAAGAGTGTGGGTTGCCGGCAGGCGTGTATAGTCTTGCAGCTCGGTAAATCTCGTAGGAAGTTGCTCTACATCATGTAGTTCGCGCTGGACAAAGCACGCGGTATACAATAATATTATTTATTAATACGTCGCATTTTAGTCGAATAAAATAAAGCAGTAAATAAAAAACAAAGAACTCTCCTTCATACTTTTGAGGCTTAGGACTGTCTATAGTTGATTTAAATGTTACTTTGACATTTATGTAAATTATAAATCAATTATAGGTGTATTATCGAAAATAATAGCATCTCATCATAGGTACGTAGTTTGCTTTCAAACAGTCTTCCACCCTATTATTTATATAAAGAATACACTAATTTACCAACGTCTAAGACAAAACAAGGTAGCGCGCGATTAATAACGTGATGATTTTCGTAACACGTCCGATCACAACAACGAGTACGCCAGGGAGAGAGACTATATGTTAGAGCTAGCCACCGCACTTGACGACGCCGCGCGCGATCGCATAATATTCATAGCACCATAGCTTTTACTTACATATCACGCGGTGTGTGCTATGTAAATATAGCGCACTATAATATGGCGCTATGCGCTATGTTAACCCCCTCTAGTTGCCACCCGTACTATAATAAAACGGATGTTTGTGAAACGCTCCCGAAAACGAAGACAGACGATAGTACTAACGATAAACATTGATGATGGCTCAGAAGGAAAATCGATGCCGATGAAAAAAAATCATCTTTTCACAAGGTTTAATTAGCTTTATTCACGCTCCATCATGTTAGTACAGCTAAATGAAATGATAATTTCATAATAAAAAACGTGAA